TCCCTCCCTAACCCAGCCTCCCCCAACACTGTAAATCAGCCAAGCTTGACATACTGTGGGTTTTATCTGCTTGGTTAGAATAGTGACCTTTTCTCAATCATTTTGCTAAATGTCACACCTAAAATGTGTCTGATATTTATACTGGTTCGAATTGAAATAACACCCACACCACTGGCTCTGCTCCTTTAAACTCAGAAACTGAGGTTTCCAGCACGTGGTAATCCTGAATCTGGGGAAAGGAGTAATCCTGGGGCTGGGGGGTGAGAGTAATCCTGGGGCTGGGGCGGGGGGGGGGGGGGGGGAGAGTAACCCTGGGGCTGGGGGGGGGGAGAGTAACCCTGGGGCTAGAGGGGGAGTAATCCTGGGGCTGGGGCTGGGTGGTGAGAGTAATCCTGGGGCTAGGAGCTCGGTGCGGGACCCGGGGCTGGAAAGCGAGAGGCGGCGAGGTGAGGATCACGGGGTCTGGAAGGAACCCCCTCCCTTTCCCCACAATCTGGAGGGGGTGGGGGTTGGTGATGTGGTTTTGGTCTCACTAGTCAGGGGTCGAGGGGGGACGGCGTTTTCCGTGAAGCCGATGCCCCTTCATCCCTGTCTGTCAGATGTTCAGGGCCGGTTTACAATATGCAGCATCTCCAAAGAGGTGTTCAGCAGCTCCGCCTCATGTCTGTGAAAGCGGAAAGCGCTCTAACTGGCGGCTTCTCATCTCACTGCTATTTCTCCCCCAAACTGCTGGAGACGCACTAATTGTCACATTTCCCTACATGTGGCCACTAAAGCAAATCATTATGCCGGGAAAAGTTATCTTTAAACATAAATGACTGGAAAAACCCAGCAAGTCCTTAGAAGAAATATTAACTCCGCTTCTCTCCAAACAGATGCTGCCCAGACCTGCCGAGTTTCTGCAGCAATTTCTGCTTTTGTTTCAGATTTACGCCGTCCACAATTCTTAGTTTTAAGGTATTTTTAAAAATGCGTTCAGGGAATGTGATGGTATTAAGAGGAAATGTGGGCTGTATTCATTGGGGTTATTGCGATGTATAAAATCCTAGGAGGTATGGACAGAATATTAACTGTAAGGATGTTTCCCCTCTGACAGAGACGAGAACCGGGTGACAGAATTTAAAGATAAGGCATCTGCCATTTAAGGTGGAGGCGAGGAGACTTTCATTTCTCCGGGAGGCTCCTGAGGGCTGTGAAACTCTCTTCCCCAGAGAGTGCTGAAGGCAGAGTTATTGAATATTTTTGAAGCAGAGCTAGATCGATTCTTCACCAACATGTTATCAAAAGGGTATCGGAGGTAGATGGAAATGTGGAGTTGCCCTTATGAAGGTGGTGAAGCAGACGGGAGGAGCTGAATGGCCTACTCCTGCTCCTAATTCAAAATGCAAGTATGTCACTGCCCACGCAGGCATTTATTATCCAACAGGGAATCACCCTGAAAAGGTGCTGGGGAGCTCCCTTATGTGGCAAGTACACCCACAGTCCTGTTAAGAAGGGAGTTTCCAGGGCTTTGACCCAGAGACAGTGAGGAATAGGTATTTGGTTCCGAATTAGGTAGCGTGCGGTTTGGAAACAGTGTAGCACCTGGTTGAAGGCACTGCCATTTCTAAGTTCCCCTCCAACTGTCTCGACTTGGAGCTGTTTTACTGTTCTTCGCTGTCTCCCTCAAAATCCAAGTCCCTTCCTCATAGCACTATGGATGTAATTAACATCACGTGGACTGCGGTGGTTAAAGAAGGCAGCTCTCAACCACCTTCTCCAGGGCAACTAGGGATGGGCAACAAGAATGTTGGCTCCGTGAATGACACTAGGGACCTCAGGAGATGACACATCCGCTGGATAAATCTGGCCAGAAATTGTTGCAAATACTTCAGCCTTCGCCTCTGCAGTGAAGTGCAAGTTCCTCCAGCGTTGAGGATAACGATATTTGTGTAACGTCCTGCTTTATTGAATTGTTTAATCGCCCATTACCATTCACGACTGAGTGCAGCAGGAGTGCGCCACTTACATTTCATCTCATGATTGTGGGATCTCTCTAATGGCCTGCTGTTGGCATTGGTTACTGTACTTGAAGAAACGCCACTTTGGCGCCTTATTTTTGAAATATGTCCAGTGCCAAGCACTGCATGATCACCTGTGCGTAAGTAGAAATTGTGTTTTTCACAGTACAAGAAGGACCATTCCTAAAGAAACCAGGAATTAGAATCCTAAGTCAGATTCAGGTGAATATTTGCTCGTATTAATCAAGTGTATAATGAGAATAAATCTTAGAGTGAAGGAAGAAATTACATGATTGATCAAATGGTTTCCAAAGTAGTTTTATTAAAGGTATGTTGAGAGAGTGCAGTGTGTAAACAGATTGATTTGTGAACGGAAGCTGGATAGTTACATGAAACAAACTCTTGTGTCAGTTTGCATTAACTTTCCCTTCATGGCGACCTGAAAGAGAGTTTAAAATGCTCTTTGTTATGGTGCTTTACATTGCAAAACACATTTTCCTTAGAAGTGATTCACTGGTTCTAAAGATATATTTCCTGTTTCTTCACTATTCTACGATTGTTTTTCCTTTGCGGAAATGGGAAAGTGCAGACTATGAGATGATATTCTAGTCATTGGAAAGACACAATGGGAAAAAGGCCTGCTTAAGGCTTTTTAACCAAAGTGCACCCACTGCCTGAAAGCTGGGGAAAACTCTTCTATGTTCAATACGTAATGAATTTTTAAATATTAAATGTAGCTATAAAATAGTGATTTACAGTATTAGAATAAATTAAGTTGGTTCGCACCTTATGTAAAGTCAACTTTTATAACTTTTATGAATAAACATTATTTTTGGAAAAATAATAAGGTGGAATTCTTTGTGAATGGCTAGTCCTGACGTCAGTGATAAAAAAAATCCAGTCGTGTTCCAAAATGTGACAGTCTTACTAATATTAATACAAAAGGCATTCCAAGAGCTTGCCTGCATAGCACCTACTGAGGTGTTAGGCGGAACTTTCTGGTATTTACATGTTGCAATGTTGCTGGGAAGCTGCGCTAATTCATATTTCAGACATTTAGGGGAGGAATAGATCTTATTGGAAAGACTTGAACCACAGAAATATTTCACTTAGTATGTTGTATTGATCGTATATTTTCATATGTTTAAGGATTTGGGAACAAGGTGGCAACAAAATGTTTGGGGCTGTTATTCAAGTTTATATTACTGTCAGATAACCTCCGATTCATGATTGGAAGGCCCCTAACGCCTTCCTGATTAGTGGATATTTGTTTCCTCACTGCTTGTTCAATGGTTTATTTTTCTATTTGTTCAGTTGTGATTTATTGATGGTTGGTCGCTCAAATTTGACTCATACAGATTGAGAAATGTTAGACCCCAGGGACTATCGGATGGAATACAATCCACCTCATCCGTGTTTATTAAAGACGCCATCAGCCTGAATGGTCAACAACAAAACATTCACTCCCTCTGCATTGACTTAAATATTCTGAGGGAGTTTCTGCTTTAACTCTTGGCGTTTACAGTTGTGAAAGGTTCTGAAACATGACGCAAGATCAGTCATTCTAACGGTTCATATACAAAAGACCTTTATTCTCACAGTAAACAAAATATGCACTCGGATTCACGACATAAATACAGTTAATACACAAAAATAGAATATGTTGCAGGCCACGACCAATATTTACAGTACAGTTCACCCACAGGGGTGCAGCACTCAATAGTAAATAAAGTGCCAGTTCATTTCAATACTTCTCACGTTGTTCTCTAGACTGTAACTTTGGAAATCTGAACTTTTTAAAAACAAGTTCCATGGGAAATGTTTTCCTAACACGTTTATTGTTGGGAGTCAGTGAAAGTGGCAGTGTCCCAGCGCAACCCACCCTTCACAGGCGCCATGGGTCTATGTTTTAATTGGTTGAAACTGGCGTTAACAGGGCAGTATGGACACCCACCCTCACCCCCGCAGCAGGGATCTGTAAACTCATCATTCCGCCAAATTTCACACTTTGCACATCACTATTTAGAAGCCCGGGGGTTGGGGGGTTGGGGGGGGGGGTGGTGGTGGTGGGATGGGTGGTAGTAAATTATCATCTGAAACAGGTGGAAAACCACTTACCACATGAGCCGGTTGCTTAGTGTAACTAATAATCCCCATTCCAATGTTAATACTTTGGAGTCTGTGCAGACATGTCCGTGGCCTGGGGCTGAAAGGGACTATTTTTAGACGTCACAAGGCCTGGCCGCCCACAGTAATATGACACGTGTGGCGATTATAGGAAGCAGCGGCGTTCCCTCTGGGCTCGAACTGCTCCATCCGACTCCATTGCCCTTTCTCGCATCTCGCAAGAGCTGGAACACCACCCCCGACTAGTAACTGAAATGGCCTGGCAGGTTCAGATCAGCTGCAAGTTCACTACCACCCGTGCCGGCTCATTTTCGATGAAAATCAGCGACCTGATATGGCTAGCGGGCCAGTGGCTTGGCCCTAAGCCCTGCTCCGATGGCCGGATTGAAGGACCCAGCAGAGACCGGCCGGCCAACCCGGAGCACTGGGTGTGGGAACATTTGGGAGACATGGGCCTGCTCATGTTCCAACATCGGGGGAGAGTGGCGGGGGGGGGGGGGGGGGGGGGGGGGGGGGGGGGCGGTTAGTTTTAAAGAAACCCTTTCAGCGTAGACTAAAATGGCATTCGGAGAATTGGGAGTCTTATATTTAAAACCAAACGAGCCGACCGACTGGGGGAGGCGAACATTTTGCACATATGGCAAAGGGAGAGCTTTGCAACTGTCAGTGACCATCTTTAGTGGTGTGTGTGTGTGTGTGTGAATACGGCGGTGAGGCCCATCTTCAGGTACCTAAACTGGGAAATCAAACTATGCCACAATGTCAGTGCGCCCAGCCCTTTCCTCCAGGTATATCCCTATATGTGCTACATACACATTAAATATATATAGCATGGAGGTGGCGCGGGGCGGGAGGGTAGGGGGCGCTGGATGCCTACACATCACTCGGTGACCTTGAATGCAAGGAGGAATTGGACTGGAAACACCCACAAAATAAAACCCAGGTAGCTTTCTGGATCTCCTGATTCTTGAAAGCATAAATGATGGGGTTTATCATGGAGTTGTAAGTAGCAGGGAGGAGAGTGGCATAGGTGTACACAGTCGGGTAGGCATGGTCCCCGACCAAGCAGTAGATGGCAAAAGGCAGCCAACTTGTCCCGAAGGTGCCTACGATGATGGCGAGAGTGGAGACACTTTTCTTTGTGGTCACATAGTAAGAGGTCGCGAAAAAGTGTTGCTGCAGGGCTATCTGCTGGGCATGGCGGCACACAATTTTGCATATTTTAATGTAAAGGTGTAACATGACGAGAAAGATTAGAAAGAAGGAAACTGACAGCAGGGTCAAGTTGCTCCTAGTCAGGGGCTTCACGATGCTGCAGGTAGATGCATCCTTCAGGCAGTTCCAGCCCAGCACAGGAAGCAGCCCGAGGCAAAATGAAACGCCCCAGGCCACGGCCAGCATGCTGTGGGTGTAGGCTACCGTCCTTTCCGAATAGTAAGTCAATGCGTTATACAACGAAAGGTACCGGTCGATCGTTATGGCTAACAGACTGTTCACCGAAGCGGAGAAGGAGCCAACTAAAAAACCCACGGTGATGAGGTTAATTGTTTCCGAGTGGATCAGGTAATGGAAAAAGAAATTCAGGATTAGCCCAAGTCCGGCCAGGAAGTCTGCTGTCGCTAGGCTGCCGATCAACAAAAACATAGGCGTTCGTAAAGCCGGAGTGTAGAACAGAATGGCCACGACCAGAGCATTCTCACAGGCGATGGCAGTCCCCGATATACACAACATCACGTCCCAGGGATCGACCGCCAGCCGCGGCGCTTCTGACTGCAGCTCCAGGGAAGAGTTACTGTGCAGGGCACGAAGCCAGCTCGATAGGTTCACAGTCTCATTCACGGGGGCGACCACAGCCATCTCTTCACCAACACCCCTCCGGTCCTGAAATTCAAAACCAGCACATCAGTAAGGTCGGCGGCAGAGCTGAGCAAAGTGCAGCTAAACCCTGCACTCGGATCTGAGAGAGGAGAGAGCGAGCGAGATGAGAATGGGCCGGATGCTTTCTATTTATGAGCGAGAATGAACGTGACTGTAATTTCTAAACAGGCCGACTGGGCGATCCAGACGGCGGAGTAAACAGGCAAGTTTTCAAACGGTGTCACAAAACAACCTGGCAAATGTTAAACTGTTTGCAAATAAAGGGTGAAATAAAAAGGGGAAATGAGGGGAGAAAGGAAATAAGATTGGCGAGCGACAAAACATGAAGCAAGCAGGAACAAAAAACATGCGCTGGCCATGGTGCTGAAACACGTTGTATTCTTCCAGGTCAAACACAGAAACAATGCCTCGTACAAGACAAGGCTGAATCTAACGACAACTCCGTGAGTCTTTAGTCCTGTGCGTATTCTTCTCTCGGCATCGGGCGTAAGAATTCAACACAACACAAATGCTCAGCGTCCATACAAGCTCAGCCCTGAAGAAAGAAAGCAGCTCTGTACTTTTCCACCTACCGTTCACAGCTCGACAACAAGCTGGGGCATCCGTAACAGTCCTTCCTCCGGTACGGCTCAGTCCTTTTAACGGAGAGGAAGGAACACAACGTTCCTCACACTGAGCTGCCCCTGGACTCCAGTGAAAGCCGTGCGAAAGCTGACTGCAGGCTGAAAAATGCAGCCTGCGGGCTGGAGGTTTTGCCGGAGACGTCCGGCTGGCTGCTGCTGGAAGCAGCTCCTCTCCAAGTCTGACGTCAGCCTGTGCGCGGCAGTCACGGGGCTCACACTGGCTATATCACATACTGGCTATATCACACACTGGCTACCTCACACACTGGCTACCTCACACGCTGGCAATATCACACACTGGCAATATCACACATTGGCTATATCACACACTGGCTACATCACACACTGGCAATATCACACACTGGCAATATCATACACTGGCAATATTGCACATTGGCTATATCACACACTGACTACATCACACACTGGCAATATCACCCACTGGCTATATCACACACTGGCTATATCGCACACTGGCAATATTACACACCAGCAATATCACACACTGGCTATATCACACACTGGCTACATCACACACTGGCTACATCACACACTTGCTATATCACACACTTTCTATATCACACACTGACTACATCACACACTGGCTACATCACACACTAGCTACATCACACACTGGCTACACCACACACTGGCAATTTCACACACTGGCTACATCACACACTGGCAATATCACACACTGGCTACATCACACACTGGCTACATCACACACCAGCAATATCACACACTGGCTATATCACACACTGGCAATATCACACACTGGCTATATCACAAACTGGTAATATCATACACTGGCTACGTCATGCACTAGCTACATCACACATTGGTAATATCACACACTGGCTATATCACAAACTGGTAATATCACACACTGGCTATATCACAAACTGGTAATATCATTCACTGGTATATCACACAATGGCAATATCACATACTGACTATATCACACACTGGGGAAGCAATGGCCTAGTTGTTTAATCATTAGACTATTAACCTAGAAACTCAGCTAATGTTCTCGGGACCTGGTTTCAAATTCTGCCATGGCAGATGGTGGAATTTGAGTTCAATAAAGAATCTGAAATTAAGGGTTTAATGATGATTGTGAATCTGTTGTTGATTGTTGGGGAAAACCCATCTGGTTCACTAATGTTCTTAAGGGAAGGAAACTGCTGTCCTTACCTGGTCTGGTCTACGTGTGACTCCAGATCCACAGCAATGTGGTTGACTATTAATAAATGCTGGGGATGAGCAATAAATGCTGGCCTAGCCAGAGGCAGCCACATCTATGAATGAATAAAAAAAACCTGGCACTATCTCACACTGGCAATATTACACACTGGCAATATCACACAATGTTAATATGACAGACTCCTCCTGCAAGGAACAGGCATTTAATCTGCAAGAGGGAAGCCCCAACAGCCAATCCATTGGCACTTGCTATTATATCATTAGTTATTCTACAAGTGTCATAAATAATATCCAGCTCAGAAGGGAACTTGATGTCATTTCCCTCAAGGTACATAAATCTCCAATGGTTTGTGGAAGTTCAACTGTCTGAGCCTCCCTATATTATTTGTATTTCAATTGTACACCTCATAAAGAATCATAGCTTGCACTGTGATAGCCTACTATCTTTAAATGTCCCAGTGTGAATTCTAACACTATCCCTGCGCGGATTTCACCATAATTACAATAGCTACAAGTTCATGCATTTTATTTCGGTAAGTTAACACTTATTTGCAAAGCCTTATCTTTCTCAAAAAGTTAGTCACAAATAAGTGATAATATGCAACATGAAAACAAATACATCACTTTTTGGACTAGGGCTATGACATGATGTGGAAGTGCTGGTGTTCAACTGGGGTGGAAAAGGTCAAAAATCATACGACATCCAGTTATTGTCCAACAGGTGCTTTCAAATAAACCTGTTGCACTATAACCTGGTGTTGTGTGATTTTTGACCTTGTTACTATGTCACTAACATCACACCAATAGGGGAAGGGGTGCACTGTTCATGCCTAACATGTAGGAATGGCCCCGATCAGATCAGAAAAGCAGCACTTACAGTGAGTAAATCATATTCTATTATAATGTGAAGTTGTCTCTCATCAAGACAGCTCTTCACCTAAAACATGTGCCATTAGTTTAGCAAACACCTGAAGACATCCAAATTGATTGTCAATCTAAAGGAGGAGTTTTCAGACATAAACAGAAAAGAGTGAATGCTTACAACGGGAGTCTATCATCAAGATTTTAACAGATGTCACATTACCAGCACGGATTATTGCACTGATCATTAACACTTACTGAGGTGTCAATTATATGAGTTCTAAATTAAGGAAAGTACTGGATTTTCTCTGCTTCAGAGTTGAATTTTTATTAGTTTAGGAGATGTGAAGCTCACTGACAAAGCCAGCGTGCATTGCCATTTCCTAAATACGAACAGAGTACAGTAGGAGTAGGCCATTCAGAGCTTTAAGCCTGCTCCACCATTTAATAAGATCATGATCAATCAGTTTGGAACTGCCAAACCACAATTCTGCTTGCCCGATAATATTGCAACATTTTCCTTAAGAATACTCTAACTACCTCTTCATTAAAAATATTATGAAGGATTTACTTTGCTACCATCACCTTTTTAGAGAAAATTGCAAAAACTTGGACTGTCTCTGAGAGAAAAAAAAAGTCAAATCTTTGTTTAAATGGGTGGGGCCTGAATTTTAAATAATTACTAATCATTCTGGATTCTCTCATAAGAGGAAACATCCTTTTCACTTCCACCCAATCATGACCCCTTAGGATCTTAAGTGTTCCTTCTAAGTCATCTCTGTCTGTTCTAAACTCCAGTAGAAACAAGTCTAGTCTGTCCAACCTTCATCAGACCACCCACCCATTCCAGGTATTTGTCTAGTAAGCCTTTTCTGAAATCCCTCTAATTCATTTACATCCTTTCTTAAACAAAGTGACTAATGCTGTGTTCTCTAGATATGGTCTCATACCAGTGTTCTGTATAACTGAAATGTAACCTCCCTACTTTTGTATTCAATTCCTATCACAACAATTGACAAATTCTCTTAGTTTTCCTAATTACTTGCTGTACCAACATACCAACTCAATATAATTCATGCACTGGGACACCCAAATCTCTATGCAATCTCTCACTATTTAGATGATATGTCTACTTTTTATTCTTCTTGCCAAAATGGACAACTACACGTTTTCCAAATTTATTTGCCATTTCTTTGCCCACTCACTTAACCTATCAATAAATTTTTGTAATCTCCTTGTATCCTGTCTACAGCTAATTTTCTTACTTATCTTTGTGTCCTCAAGAAATCTAGTATCCATACCTTCTGATCCTTAACCTATGCTATTTATATAACTAATAGGCAGTTGAGGTCCCATCACTGATCCCTGTGGCACACCACTTGTTGCATCTTGCCAAATTGAAAAAAGATACATTTACAATTTCTGCCTGCTTTCTGGTAGTAATTCAATATTCTATCCATGCCAATATGCCACTCTCTACACCACAAACTCTTAATTTCTGCAATAACCTTTGGAATCAGGTAATGAGTCACTTGTTGCAGACTCTGTCCCAGTCTCTGATCTGCTCATTTAGCACAATATTTATATGGCTAGTTCAGTTATGTTTCTTGTCAGTGGTAACCCCCAGGATGCTGATAGTGGGGGATTCAGTAATGATAATGCCATTAAATGTCAAGGGGCAATGATTAGATTCTTTCTTGTTGGAGATGGTCATTGCTCAGTGCTTGCTTGGTGTGAATATTACTTGCCACTTATCACTGAAGCCTAAATGTTGTTCAGGCCTTGCTGCATATTACAGACTATTTCAGTATCTGAGGAGTTACAAATGTATTGTACAATCATCCTACTTCTGATCTTGTGAAAGAGGGGCATTGATAAAATAACTGAAAGATGGTTGGGCCTAGAACACCACCCTGAGGAACTCCTGCAGTGATGTCCAATGGCTGCACTGATTGATCTCCAACAACTGCAAACAACTTTCTTTGTGCCAGATATAACTCTAGTCTTTAAGGAGTTTCCCCTGATTCTCATTGACTTCAATTTTAGAACACAGAACAAAGAATAGTACAGTAGAGGTACAACAGGCCCCTCAGCCCATCAATCCTGCACCAACACGTAATGCCTTTTTAAACTAAAACCCTTTTGCCTCTATGCGGTCCATATCCCTCTTTCCCAGTCTATTCGTGTATCTGTCAAGATGCCTCTTAAATGTTGCTACTGTATCTGCCTCCATCACTTCCTCTGTCTAAGTGATCCTGACTAACTCCAAACAAAGTAGGTAAGCAGATT